GGCACAGGCTGCCCAGAGAGGCTGTGGAGGCTCCTTCTCTGGAGATGTCCAACCCGCCTGGATGCCCCCTGTGCCCCGTGCTCTGGGTGTCCCTGCTGGAGCGGGGGTTGCACTGGGTGATCCCTAGAGGTCCCTGCCAGCCTCAACAGCAGGATGAGGCTCAGGGCACATTTAAATAAAAAAATCATAATCCACTTGGTGTCACACACCATAGCACATAGGGGACTGGCTTAAAAATGAGACAGGAGAAGAAACTACCGTCTAAACCACACATTAAAAGGTTAAAAGAAATGAACAAAATGAGATTTTTTAAATATTATGGTTTCCGTAACACAAGTTAAAAAAGCTAAAAAGGGATTTGTGTGCTGCAGTTTCCATAACAGTATTTTTATTAACAAGCTAAAACAAATACAAAACATGTCCTGTTACAAAACAGCAAGTTTTTAAAGATCCTGCTCCAAATTTGGACGAGAAGTGAAGCCAAGACACTGGGAAAGTGGCCCTGTGCCCAGGGAGAAGGAAACAGCACGTCCCAAGCCGCTGTGGAAGCGCGTGCAGAGGTCCCTGTTGTGCTCCAGGGTTTGGCTCTGGCTCCGCAGGGTGCACAGGGTGCTGCTGGCAGCCCCCCAACCTCATGGGTGCCCCAGACTGGCCCTGTGGCCTCCGCGTTGTCCCCTGAGCTCGGGTCTGACATGATGCCCCTTCCTGGCCAACGTAAGCAGGGGGCAGATCAGCCGTCTGCTGTGAGGATAAGTGGTCACCGTGTTGCCCCTGAAGCCCTACAAAATCAGCATTTTAATATAATTTTGCATTGCGACAGCGAGATCTTTGCTGTGGCCACCGAGTCCCGCGGGGCTACGGGCCCAACCGCAGGGAAGCTCCGCGAGCGGCTCTGGAGCAGCAGGGAGGAAGCTCTGAGGCCGGGTGACCTGCGGGAGCCCCTGGCAGCGCCCAGGGAACGTCGCTCTCGGCGCTCAGCCATCTCCATCCGCGCCGCGGCCGCTCCAGGAAACGCTCTCCGGTGGGAGCCAGCGCTCACGGTGCTTCCTGCAGGCTTTCCCGGGGGCTGCTGAGCACCTCGAGGGCTCTGTGCAGCGGCAGGCGGCGAAAGGCGTCCGAGTGAGCGGCCGTCCTCTCCGCCAGCGACGCGGCGGCGCCCGCTGCGGGAGAAGCCACCGCGTCAGCGGGGAACCGGGCGCACAACCAGCCCAGCTCTTTGGGTCTGGTTCTTTTTTCTACTCCGCCGTCGAATTGTTCTTTTCTCATAACCCTTCTCCGCTTCCCAGCACTCCGCGTCCGCCCGCGGGGATCCAAAGGGCACGTGGAAACCCCCGCTGCCCGAGGGGATTTTGAGAGAGGACGGAAATGCGGGAATGCTGCGGCTTGGAGCGCCGCCGCACATGGGCCCCATCATCCCTCCCGTTGCATCGGGGGAGGGAAATCCCTGGAAACGGCATCCCCATCCTGCTGGGACTCTTCCAGCACCTGAAGTGCACTCGGGCCTTCCCAAAACCCTTTCCCACGCAGGGATGAGAGGGTTTGTTCCTCCTGACTCACTGGACAGAAACCCCGTCCACCCGCAGAGCGACCGTCCAACCGAGGCCGGCGCCGCCACTTACGCGCGCACGAAACGACGGCCTCGGTGGGGAGGCTGCGGCAGGGATCTCCGTAGAGCAGCCTCGCGCTGAACGGGAAGGTCTCCTCCTGCCCTGACGTGTTGTACCTGAAGACCAGCACGTTGCACAGGGAGTTTCTCTGCAGGGTTCCTTCCAGGTGGCCTGAGAAACGCTCCTGGAGGGATGAGAAAGGCCTCTAGCACCGAGGGGAGGTGCCACGGGGTGGCTGCACCCTGAGCAAGGCTGCTATAACCGTGACAAGGGAAAAGGAGAGGGGACCTATAGGGAAAAGGAGAGGGGACGGCACTGCCGGTACCTGCAGCTGGTCGGCCTGGTACCTCCTGCCCACGTAGGCGTTGAGGTGGTCGGAGAGCGCGGAGAGGAAGCGCCTGATGTCCGTCTGCAGGTGCTTCCTGGCCAGCTGCTCCAGCGGGATGAAGACGGGCACGGAGTGGCGCCGGATCTGCACCCGCGGCTTGGTGGCCAGGTCCAGGTGGAAGGAGTCCAGGTAGGTGCCCTCGAAGGCGGTGCTGATGCAGAAGCACACGCCGTGCTTGGTCTGCTTCCCGCTGAGCCCTTGGGCCCGGAGAGAGGGGTTCTTAGGGGCACTGCAGCTCCCTGCCCCACGGGAGCTCTGCTGGGGCCCCACGAGTGAAACACGTCTCAGCTGAGAGCTCAGGGAGGTCTCCAGGAGGATTAAAGAGGATCAAAGGATTAAACTCGGAAGAGTTTAGGGAGATAAAGGCAACTTTCTGATAAGGGGCTCCTAACAAATTAGGGACTGGCAGCTTCGATTCCCAGTAAGCGAGTTACGCTGCCCTGGTGCTGTAGGACTAAAGCAGTTTTACGCCTTGCAGAATCCAGATTGTAGCGTGAAGGTGACAGCTCAGGAAAACGGAGTCTCTGCAGCAGCCTGGAGGCCGTTTGTGCAGGACAGGGTGTCACACACAGCGTGATCCCTCTGCCAGCACCTTCAGCACTAAAGGCTTCAAGCACAGCAGGAGCAAACTGAGGGGAAAATCACATTTCACCCCAAGTTCTTCCTTTGGAATCAGCCAAAACGGCAATCGCTGGCCGGGTGCGAGCGGCTCTTGGGCCGGTACCTGTGAGGTAGAAGAGCTGCAGCAGGTCCTGGACACTTCTCATCTTCCGCTCCAGAATGGCCTGATCATCGGGCTGGGCTGCATCACCGCTTGTCGCCACCTCTTCGTTCCCAAGGAGCTGGAAATGCCGGGAAACGGGAAGCGCAGCTCAGGATGACGGACACAACACGTGTGTCCCTAGGGACTGCGGTCAGGCTTTGGGGACACAATCAGGCTCCGAGACAAACACGAGGGCGTTTTGAGAACAGGGCGGGAAATAGTTTGGAAATAGGCGCACAACCTCTAGCAAAGGGATCCTGGACACCGGCCGGAAAGCCGGGGCAGCAGGACTTGCTTAAAAAGGGAAAATAAAAACAGTAGCCGGGTATATTGCATAAACCGCCTCGCTGCAGGAACGGGAGGCGCCCGAGCTCACCCTG